ACACACTCTCTCACACACACACACACACACACACACACTCACATTCACTCACACACACACACACACTCACACACACATACACACACTCACTCACACACACACAGCTGAAATGCTATTACTCAGCGCTAGCGATGGGAAAAGCTGCTGAATTGACCACAAGCGTTGTTTTTTATGAGGATCTGCTCACGTCTATCTCCAGTTTAACTTTCGAAGCCGTTATTTTTTAGCACAGCGTTGGAGTTCTAGATAAAAGCGTGGCGTTCCTGTCAGCCGTGGTGGAGTTTATGGCCGGTGTCGCTGCAGCAGATCAGATTCATCCGTCCCGCTGTGAGGCTCGACCTTGACCCTGCACCCTCCATTTACCGCGTCAGACTCGGTAAAAAAAAAGACTCGGTTGGTCTTTTTGTGTTTCTGATATATATCAGGTATATAGCAGAGCCATTAAGCAGAAGGTCAGAGGGGTCACGGAGAAAAATGCCATTCAGTTCACTGATGTGTTCAAATATGACGTGCTTTAGATAGTTAGCGGCTTAAACGCTGAGAGGACGGAGAGTCTTTAGAGGACAGCGATTGCAGGAAGGCTGCTCGTATAGCAGAATGAATGTAAATGCTAGCCACATCACTCTTAATATTAGGAATGTAATATTATATTGATATGAGTGTAGAAAAATATATATATATCTGTATGTATGTATGTAAAATATCATGAAACGGAAATATTTAAAATATTTGAATATGAACTCAAGTTTTGAAATGTTTTAATATGAATGTTTTAAATATAAAATATTTAAAGCATTTATTCTATTATTTATCTATATATTTATATATTTGTGCTTAATCTTAAATATGATTTAACATGTATAATTTATTGCATTTTTATTTATATACTAAAAATAAAGTATACTTACAGAAATAAGTATAAAATGTTTTATATATATATAAAATATCATTTAACACTTTTAAATATATTTGATTAATGTTCTTTAATTTTTATGATTATTAAATTATTGTTTAATATATTATTATTTCATGTTATTTGTATAATATAATGTTATTATGTAAAATAGCATTTATATAAATATAGAGTTATTATTTAGCTAGATATTTGTTTAATGTTAAAAATCATTTAAAATTTCTATATAAATATTAAAGTTGATTAGTACATTGAATGCTATTGTGAACATAACCTGTGAGTTGAGCATTTTAAAAGAGTGCAGATTGCTCCCTTCAGTGTGTGTGTGTGAGAGTGTGTGTGTGTGTGAGTGTGTGTGTGAGTGTGTGTGTGTGAGTGTGTGTGTGTGTGAGTGTGAGTGTGAGTGTGTGCGTGTGCGTGTGTGTGTGGTGTGTGTGTGTGTGTGTGTGTGAGAGTGTGTGTGTGAGAGTGTATGAGAGAGAGAGAGAGTGTGTGTGTGTGTTTGTTTATTTGTGAGTGAGAGTGAGTTTGTTTGTGTGTGTGTGACCAAATGTCCCCACAAGGATAGTAAAACCTGAAATTGAAAACCTGCGGTCCCCACGAGGGAAAAATAATTAAAAATAGTAAATTATGTTTATCTGAAAGTGTACCGATGCAAACAGGCTTTCTGTAAGTTTAGGGTTAGGGTAGGGTTAAGGGGATAGAAAATATCGTTTGGTCAGTATAAAAGTAATTTCTGTCTTTCACAGGTTTTGCTGACGGTGGGATGCCGTGATTTTGAACACACCCAATAACACAAGCTGGTCATGTTTTCTCGTCCATACAGAATGAACTTGGGAAGAAACAGATTTTCTCTCACTGAGTTTCCAAACAGAGAAGTGCCAGAAGAGGCCGAAAACACTTGGTCTGCAGTTTCTCACACTGATGTTCTGCAGGAAAACGGCAAAAACAGCGGCTTCATTATCAGAGTTACCCATTCATTTCTATGAGGGAAATCAAGACCTTTCCGATAATCGATTTGGTTATTTTGGGGGGGGGGTCTGTTTCTTTTAACTTCTTGTACATTTAGTTTTTAGTAAATAAACACCAGAAAAATTGTAAAAAGTTATTTGAAAAGTCTTCTGGAAATTTCTCATGATGTTCCTGTGTGTGTGTGTGTGTGTGTGTGTGTGTGTGTGTTGTACTCACAGTGGTGAGGCGCGTCTGTAACGGAGACTCATCACTCATGGTCTGAAAGCGTGTGTGAGACGCCTGTGAGAAACACAAGAGAAGATGACAGCCAGTCAGACGGACAGACGCTCGTCCATCATCAGGACCCCAGAGCGCTGACTCAGCAGCATCAGCAGATTCACTGCAGAACGACGGTCCGTCTGGATCAGAACACACACACACACACACACACATACATCTCCCGTTGATTGTGTCATTTGGTTCAGGTGTGTCTTGTTTATTGTCCTCGTCATCTCATGTATTTAAGCCCTAGTCTGTGCAGTGTGTGTTTGTCCGGTCTACTACGTTCGTCTCCTGCCTGTTCTGTCCTGGATTTACCCTTGTGTGGATTTATTAAAGACTATTTGCATTCATCTTCATTTATCTCACCGTAACGTGACATTATGTTTTTAGATTTAGTTTATTCAGTTTAAGTTATTTTAGTACTTCAACTAAATGAAAATCATAAATGTTGCCTTTGCAACTAGCTGAAATATTTAATTTAATATTAAAATAATTTTTTCACTTAATGTTTATTTTATTTGAAGTCATAAAAATGTTCTTTTCTGACTTTAGTTTTATTTATTTAATATCCCTGTTTCCAGCACAGATCAATATCTGAATGCATAAAATACAATGCATATAATTTTTGGTCATTTGACTAATTGTGTTTTTGATCTGTGCGTTTATGCACAATTACACATTTTACACTTCAGTCGGTAGCATTTATTTTACAGTCCTGTTCTGCATGTATATGTACTTACGTTAACTGGGTTATAAGTTAGTACTAACTCTGAACCTAACCTAACAATGTAGTTACTTTATATTATCCAGGACTTTCTTTTACACAGACTGTAAAATAATGCACATCCCTTCGGTCTATATGAGATGTTATTACTGTTACGGTTGAGTTTATGCAGGTCATGCAAATGTTAATGAATGTTATGTTTGATTACTCTTGCATGACACAGGTGGTCATGTGACGCGTGTCCTGCAGCGAAACGGCCGAGACGCACTGGACTGAGACACACTCCGGTAGGACTGATGCTGCACACACACACACACACACACACACAAATAACTAATTTTTTTCTTGTGGTTTTATTCTTAGTTAACTATAATAAATCATATATATTATTTTTGAGATGATATAAGCTGTATATTTATTTATAACATATACAGTATATATATATATATTTAAACATATTTTCGAGACAAGAAAAAAATTTTTTTAGATGCTATTCGTCACATATATGTATATTTGTATACATACATGCATATAAATAATATATGTGGATGCTCCTTCACCGGCATCATCCTAATCAAACCGCTTACTTTCAGAATGAAGAGATTCACATCTGATTGGTTTACCTCGAGCGTATTGTCCAAAGCATCTCATTGCTTCAGAGATTCAAGCTGCTTTGTATGGAATCCGTCAGCTAATGCTTTGTGCAAAACGGCTCCGATATGTCACATAATAATGCCTATTATCTCAGGCTTGTTAAAGATGAACCACAATCTGTTTCCTTCAGAAAAATGGATGGCAGTTCAACTCTAACAAGCCGTTTTTGCAGGAGCGCCTGAATACTGTAGATGTGCGGCGTCTCATTAGTGTCTTGTTAAGCGTGTGTTTGAGTGAGAAGTAATTGAGAGGCTCCACAAAGAGCTTCATTTGAGCCGAACGGCCTGTGTTTGAGTGATTAATGCGTCCCGTCTCGGAGTCTGTTCAGCTCTCACCTCCAGTGTTTCTTACAAGCCGCTGATTAAAAGGTGTTTCCAGAGCCGTGTTTTAATCTGCAGCCACACACGCGCCGAATAAAGATCAGCCTTCGCTTCGTTTCCCTCACAGACTGTGCTCTGCGTCGTGCTTTACTAAAACACACGGTTGATTCTGCGTTTGACGTCCACAGCTTCAGCACGACAGACTTTCTGAGGGTCTTAAAGTCTTATTTCACCCGTGCACAATTTAAATCCTTAATGCATGAGACAGCTATGCATTGAATGTCTCTCTTCCTCAGTTTTTCTGTTTTGTTTTTCAGTACGAATATCTAAAGACACATTTACTGGAGATGCACAATGACCACATGAAGTCTTGCTTTCTGAGAAATTGAACAAAATGAAGTGGGTTTGTGCTTAAAACAAGAACAAATATCAATATAAATATTAAATAAATCAAGTTGATTTTTCTGAACCCACTGACTTTTTAGTAAATGCGTCTTCATTTAACCCTCTGTTGCTCTGCAGTCATTTTTGACCGAAAAATCTAGTCGTTTTTTTATTTTATTGGAATGGTCTGAAACTTGGTAAATTTGGTAAAAAATTACGCATTGGAAACGAATGGAAAGTGAATTTCATCTAGTGGAAACGTTTGGTACTGCACTCAAACAAAATCTCATGTTTTGTGATATCAACTTCAAATTTGGAGCACAACATGATTGGATTTATGGATTTTCTCCAAGTTTTAGAGTAAAACATGTTTTTGAAAATATATTTCATGTGATATTTGAAAATGGTATTTTTGTGCATTTTTCATAACAATAATAATTTACTTTTTATTTTTTTGCCACGCGTCTTCTTTAGAAAGAGACCAAACTTAAGTCTTCTTCCAAGATTTACAACAGTTTCAGGTCTATGCTCAAAAAGTAATATAGGTAATTAAAAGTAACAGGTAATAATAAATGGATCAAAATATAGTACATTCATTAAATAAATAAATATATAGATAGATAAATAAATAAATAAATGGTCATTTTGAATAGCTACGTGAGCAGAATCAGAGGGTTAAGTTGATTTTTCTGATATTTCTTTTAAAATCATAAACTAACTTCATTTTGATCAATTTCGCATAAAACAAGACTTTATCATTTTGCTTCTTAAGTAAATGTATCTTGACTTAATCATCTTTAGACATTTGCACTGGAAAACAAGACCAAAATATGGATTAAGATATACATTTGTTCCCTTCAATTTATTCTGTACATTTTCTTTACTTGGTCTTAGAAAAGTCTTACATCTAGCTTCATGAAGCCTGCAGAACCCCTGCTATGAATAGCTTGTGTGCCATCGGTCCGTCTCTGTGGGAACGGAGCAGGTTGCTCATCAGGAGCGTCAGATTGCGTCGGATCGCCGCTGTAATGCCAGGGAATGTGTGTGAAACGCTGAGTTGCACTGAAGTGCTGCTCAGATTGAACCCAGAATTAAATTGATCGTGTTACGGAGCCGAGGAGCAGAGGTTTCATTAGAGTTGAAGCCCAGACAGCACAAATGTGCTTTACTGTAAGCTCTAAAGCAGAATCAGAGGGTTAAGTTGATTTTTCTGATATTTCTTTTAAAATCATAAACTAACTTCATTTTGATCAATTTTGCATAAAACAAGACTTTATCATTTTGCTTCTTAAGTAAATGTATCTTGACTTAATCATCTTTAGACATTTGCACTGGAAAACAAGACCAAAATATGGATTAAGATATACATTTGTTCCCTTCAATTTATTCTGTACATTTTCTTTACTTGGTCTTAGAAAAGTCTTACATCTAGCTTCATGAAGCCTGCAGAACCCCTGCTATGAATAGCTTGTGTGCCATCGGTCCGTCTCTGTGGGAACGGAGCAGGTTGCTCATCAGGAGCGTCAGATTGCGTCGGATCGCCGCTGTAATGCCAGGGAATGTGTGTGAAACGCTGAGTTGCACTGAAGTGCTGCTCAGATTGAACCCAGAATTAAATTGATCGTGTTACGGAGCCGAGGAGCAGAGGTTTCATTAGAGTTGAAGCCCAGACAGCACAAATGTGCTTTACTGTAAGCTCTAGCATCGCTTCAAAACACTTGTCTGTCGGGGAAAAATCTTTCTTTGCCGTATAATAAATGCAGTATCAAAGTAGGGATAATTAGGTGAACTGCACAAAAAATATCCGCGTCATATTGGCTCAAAAATCAAAAATTATATTTTGCATTAAAAAAAAGAAAAACAATTTGACAATTAAAAACATTTTACCCCTAAATTATCATTACTGTAATGCAATATTTTTTGTTTTGTTATTAAAGTAAATAATATTGTCATGAAAATTACTAGTTTTATTTTAATAAATTAATTTTCTCCTTTCTTTCACAATCTCATGCACAGCCCTCAAAATCATCAATATTTAATTAATTATAAATATTATCAATAATACAATAATAATTGTAATAATTAATAATTAGAATTATAATATATATATATCTATATATATATCTATCTATCTATATATATACACACACACACACACAAACACATTTTTCTTTGCCGTATAATAAATGCAGTATCAAAGTAGGGATAATTAGGTGAACTGCACAAAAAATATCCGCGTCATATTGGCTCAAAAATCAAAAATTATATTTTGCATTAAAAAAAAGAAAAACAATTTGACAATTAAAAACATTTTACCCCTAAATTCTCATTACTGTAATGCAATATTTTTTGTTTTGTTATTAAAGTAAATAATATTGTCATGAAAATTACTAGTTTTATTTTAATAAATTAATTTTCTCCTTTCTTTCACAATCTCATGCACAGCCCTCAAAATCATCAATATTTAATTAATTATAAATATTATCAATAATACAATAATAATTGTAATAATTAATAATTAGAATTATAATATATATATATCTATATATATATCTATCTATCTATCTATATATATACACACACACAAACACATTTTATAGTACAAAAATATATATATATATTTATAGTAGAAAAACTAGGAGTATTTAATTTAAAAATGACTTCTGTAGGCCAGTGTTATTTTAGTATCATTAAGATATTATTATAGTTTTAGTTAATATTTTAAATTAGTCTTAATTTTTATATTTTCCAATTTAATTTAGTGATTTTGTTGTTTTTTGATATGTCTAAAAATTTGAAATTTGAAACTAGCTGAAATAAAATGTTACATTTTTTTATATTTTATTTGTCGTTTCATTTAACATTTCAGGTAACTAAAATATTTTGTATGATTTTAGTTTTAGTTAACTATAATAACTGACCGAGATGATACAGTCACATTTACATTAAATGCAGTCGATTAAATAGTGTTTGTGTCTTTGATATCAGAGCTTTTTGTGCTTTTACAATGCAACCGTTTCTCCTGTGTTTCAGATCCCATGCACGGCCCTCGATGGCTGCAGGTCGTAGACATCAAATCCAAGCAGTTGACGGTGCGCTGGGAGCCGTTCGGATACAACGTGACGCGCTGCTACAGCTACAATCTGACGGTGCAGTACCGCTACACGGCTAACGGCAAAGAGGAGACGCGCGAGGAGACGTGCTACGATACTCTGAGCGCCGCGCCGCAGCACACCATCCGCAGCCTGCAGCCCTACACCAACGTCAGCATTAAACTGCTGCTGCGCAACCGCGAGGGAGTCAAAGAGAGCGACGAGCTCGACGTGCTCACCGACGAGGACGGTCAGTCACGAGCATCCTTTTTATTAACAAAACTGCATTTCAACTGTATTTTATATGATTTGACGGCAGCGTCAGACATAACAAAAAAAATACTTCTAAAAAAGCAATAACCCCCGTGAAGCCGTGGTTTACAGTGGGGTACGACGTGAAGCGGAGTTATAATATATACCCCCTTAGCGGTTATAAATTCACTGTAAACCACGGCTTCACGGGGGTTACTGCTTTTATAAAACGGTTATTCCATATACGTAGTAAGGTTTCACAAAATAAAACAGAGCAAATAAAGTGTAATGATATTAATAAACACAGTGTTCTTCCACCAAACAATGTAGCTCAACAAAGTGGTTGCCGAGCAACACACAAATGTAAACAAAGGTGTGTGTTACTTTGTAGCGTCATTTACAACAGCTTCGAACGCGGCTCAGCCAATCAGAGTCAAGCACCGGAACTCTCCGCTTTATAATCATTTATGTTAATGTGATATTAAGAGTCCATATGAAAAACATTGACTTTTCTTTTATAAAACTTTTTTTTTTCCCAAAAAATATCTATTTTGGTATTTTTATGATTTGCTGTAGCCTCAGACATGATTCTAGTTTAATTTATTAAATATTCTTGCTCTTTTGAATTTACTTTCAATAAAACCATGTGAAAACACCGATTTCATCAGGAACAAGATCATTCGTGTTGAACTTAATTCCGTTTGCATTAATGAATGGCTTCAGTTCTTGTTCGTGTGAGATTTGAGAGTTAAGTGTGTGTTATTTTTATTAGACAATAGAGTCCATTCCAATATTTATGAGGAAACATGTGAAAACACAACAAGCCTGCAGTCAAGACCGAAGCTCGAACCTCTGGAGATGTTCAGAGGTCAAGGAACAACAAACTTCCATATTCCTTCGACTGAATAGATGAATAAACCTTCTCATGCATGGAGGCCGTTCATTTTGCTATGACATATTGAATACGAGAGAATATTGATTTAAAGCTCTTCGGTGTCTCTTCAGATCGATACGGGTTTGATCAGCAGACTCTGATCGGTCTCCGTCTTTTCTTTTCCAGTTCCCGGCGCCGTTCCGCAGGAGTCCATCCAAGGAAACACATACGAGGAGAAGATCGCCCTCCGATGGAGAGAACCGCTCCAGACGTACGGCATAATCAAACAGTATGAAGTGAGTCCCGATTCCTTCAAGCTTCGGCATTCATCTTCCGTATGTCATTCTCTACACTCGCTTAATTGACTAATAAATCTAAACGAATAACCTTTAGATCTGTAAGCAGCCGGCGCTTTAAACGCCGCTCAGGTCAGCAGTGCCGAGAGATTCCATTAGAAAAGAGCCGCTGCAACAATTACAGCCTCCTACAGGAACGAGACGAGACGAGACGAGACGGAGTCATCTCTTGCCCAGCCTAACATCTTATAAGATCTAGAGCCGGGTTTTGATTCGATTCGATTATCCTTCACAAGCTTGCGATTCGATTTCGATTCAGTATTGATTGTTTTGGATATATATCAGGTACAGGACATGGCAAATTCTCTCAAGGAAAAAAAAAAAACTAATGCTGTAAAATATACCTGAGAGTACCTGAAATTTGCTGATTTGTATAGAAACTAGGGCTGTCAAAATTAACGCGTTAAGAACGCAAATTCATTTTAACGGCACTAATTCTATTAACGCGCGATTAATGCAGCGCGCATTTTCTGTTTCAGGGTTTCCACGGGGTCTTAAAAGGTCTTAAATTTAGTTGTATCATATTTAAGGCCATAAAAAGTCTTAAATGGTAAAAGAAAGTATTATTTATGATTTCAAGAGGTCTTTAATTTGGGGACGGAAAGACCAGAATTGCGATATGACTTAATGTGAGATTAAACTTCAGAAGGTGATGATTTCATTGAATAAATAAATATGAGCGCTGCATGTTTCAAAGTCTGCTGCTGCGCTGTTTTGTTTACAGTCAGAGAAACCGCTATGTTTCTGCCGTTCCGACAGCGCCACCTGCTGGCAGAGAATGAATTAGCATTTTCAATAAACCGGTCTGCTGTTTTTGTTCAGACCAATGCGAACATTCACCCATGTTTTTATGCAGCTACGCGCAGCTGTAAATGTGAACAGATCGATAATAAGATAATGCATTATAAAAATCTAAACAATTAAGCCAGTAAAATATAATTATGTTATTTAATATAATAATTAATTGATAATAATTGTTTAAATTAATAGAATAATTTATACTTTTGACTTTTGATTCACCTTCTTAAAAATAGTTTTAAAAACTTTGTTTTTGTGAAAGCCTATATCTGGATTCTTTATGCTCGATATTGAGAATGGTTACGCTAATAATAAACATTAATTTGCATAAAGCATCCATATTTGTCCATGCCCATGTTAATTAGAGTATTAAAAACTTAAAAAGTATTAATTTAAGGTACATTTAGGACAAATAAAAATTTGTTTTTTATAAGTTCGAAACGAATAAGTTGCGATTAATGTTTTAATCAATTGACAGCCCTAATACAAACCCTTAAAGTCTACTCAATAAAGTTTTTTTGTCATATTAGCTTTAAATCACATAATTATATTTCTACTTCAATTCGTTTTTTGAAATATAAACATTTAAATGGTGACTGTCACAAAAACTTGACGGATTTATTCAAACATAGATATAAAAGAACAGTAAAATGATAATGAATATGTCATATGGTGCATATTTAGCTCAAATAAACTCACATCTATAAAATGCAAGGCCTTCAGAGACTCAGAGTGCATTGCATTATGGAAGTGAAAAGTGTCGCGAGCGCCGTTTCAGTCCGTCTATTATTGAAGCACACAGTGTATTTTGGCTGTTACATTGTGTGCTCATTTTGTGATGATTTCTGAAGCGCGTGACTCATTCTGCGGCTGGAAACTCGGAACAAAGCGCCGCTCAAACGACTCATTGTTGCAGAACTTCATTTGTGGAAATGCGACCAATTAAGCTGTCAGATTCACGTTATGAAATTACATTCTGTCATCGCGCTCGGCTTCAAGGACGTGTCAGGGCTGCGATCGGTGCCGCTTGCTAAAGGGAGAAGGACCAAACAAAGCTTTCTGCCTCATTAGAGTCGCTCGACTTCCAGCAGGATCGCTCCTCCGTGGCATTTCGGGAAGCTCCCGTGCGTTTGTGCCGGTGCGGAGCGTTTCTGCGGGGTTGAGGTGATGTAGGTGCAGTCGTTTAGCTGCAGTGACGTGCGGTGCAGTAATTGCACAGACAGCGAGTCGCCCCAGTGCATTCTGGGTTAAGTGCTTTGCTCAGAAACACAGTAATGATGGAGCAGCACTGTGATCCCGATAAATGTCCTGATCTGGGGTCAGGCCTCCGGGGCCTTAAACGTAGCCTTAAATTTTATTGAAGTTTTTGTAATTTTGTTGTGTTTTTGTAATGAATATTTATTTATTTATTAATGTCTATTTAGATTTTATACATTTCTATTTCAGTTTTAATTCTTTCCTTGGCAACATGCCTGAAATAAAAATATGTTTTTATTTTTAGATTTTCCATTTCCATTTTAAATTTTACTAAAGTTTTAATAATTTTAGTATGTGATAACCCTGATGTGAGACAGCTATATATTTTCGTGGATAAAGATATAGATATATACTACACCGATTTATAAATATTTAGTTTCTGTTAAGTTACAACAAGTTATTTATTTTTTTACTGTACTGTTTTTTTTTAATAAAATAATTTATTATTTATTTTAATATAATTTTTATTGTTTACTTGTTTAATATGATTTTTATTTATCAAATTATTTTAATATAATTTGTATTATTTATTAGTTTATTTTAATTTATTTTAATATATTTATTTATTTACTATATGTTTAGTCATTTGATTATTTATTCATTTAAATATTTTAATATATTTATTTATTTGAGTAATAATTTTTATTTAGTATTTATTATTATTATTATTTTTTCCTCTAAACTTTTCCCTGCAACCCAGTTTGAAAACCCCTAGCTCGACCAATAGCGTGCATTTGGGGTGGAGCTATCTGATTGCCCGACCAATGGTAGTTGAGTTTTTGAGACATGCTAGAAAGTAGACAAAATTTTGCAATTCCATTTGGTACCACATAGAAACAATACACTTTACGTGTAAACATGGTAAATGTGTCAAACAAAGCACCTATTAGTAGACAGAATACTGAATGAGCAAACACATCCATGAATGATGTCTTTTACAGGTGCAACTTCCATGCATTTACTGATTAGAGCTTTTAGAGAGAGAATAAACCAGACGTTTAATAAATGCAGAGTAGCTCAGCAGCTCGTCCAGAATAAAGAGCCGCCTGGGATGTTTTCTGAATTGTTTGCATATTATTATTTATCGGCATTATCGGTTTCCCCGTGCGGATCAGTGTTGGCGTCTATCCATCTACCTGTCTTAGACTAGCATCGCCGCTCCCTTTGTGGCCTTAAATTGGACTCTGAATAGAGTGGCATTATCCGCGCCGCCCATTAGCAGCTGAATGATTTATTCAAATCAAGCCCCTCAGCTACTTTTCATTAAGTTATATTAGAAGCGCGGGCCGTCTGGCTCTCATCTCGAGAGAGCAGAAGAGAATCAGAGAGAACAAAAGTGAGTCTCCATCATCATAAAACATCAAACGCAGAAACGCTTCCTCGTTACTTCACAGCCGCTTCCTCTAATTGTGATTGCTCTGAATCGTGTGTTATTGCGTTCTGAAGCTCAAGACGTGCAACTTCCATGCATTTACTGATTAGAGCTTTTAGAGAGAGAATAAACCAGACGTTTAATAAATGCAGAGTAGCTCAGCAGCTCGTCCAGAATAAAGAGCCGCCTGGGATGTTTTCTGAATTGTTTGCATATTATTATTTATCGGCATTATCGGTTTCCCCGTGCGGATCAGTGTTGGCGTCTATCCATCTACCTGTCTTAGACTAGCATGAGTCCCTTCGCCGCTCCCTTTGTGGCCTTAAATTGGACTCTGAATAGAGTGGCATTATCCGCGCCGCCCATTAGCAGCTGAATGATTTATTCAAATCAAGCCCCTAAGCTACTTTTCATTAAGTTATATTAGAAGCGCGGGCCGTCTGGCTCTCATCTCGAGAGAGCAGAAGAGAATCAGAGAGAACAAAAGTGAGTCTCCATCATCATAAAACATCAAACGCAGAAACGCTTCCTCGTTACTTCACAGCCGCTTCCTCTAATTGTGATTGCTCTGAATCGTGTGTTATTGCGTTCTGAAGCTCAAGACAAACACTTGATTTCGAACGCCTCAGACATGAAATATTTACTTGAAGCCCGCCTGAGATTTAAGTTCATATTTAAATAATTTCATGAAACATTCACATGTTCACAATCTTCTGATAACCGTTAATGGTCACATGACATGCAAGTAAATAGATAATATATATATATATATTTTTAGTAAGGGTTTTATTTTGACTTTGCAGCTTTAAAGTCGCCTCAAACCTCTTTTTTATTGTAATTAAATGTGTTATTTTGTCCACATTACACTCACACTTGTGTTTTAGGAGCCCAATCAAGTTGAATAATAATAATAATGAATAAATAATTATAAAAATGAAAACAGAAATATATTACTATTGTAAATTGCAATTGTACTATAAAATAAAATTAAATGTTATTATATTATTATAATTTTATTTTACACAATTTACAATACTAATATTTGTTAATTATTTTTATTTATTTATATTTTTTATTAATTATCATTATGTTTTAACTCTTAGAAAAATGAAGACAGAAATGTGTAACTGTTGCTATAAATTATATTAATATATTATTGTAATATAAAATTATCTTTCTATATTATATTATTTTGTTTTAAACTGCAAGTTACATTATTATTATTAATTTATTGTAATTATTATTTTAACTCTTATAAAAATGAAGACAGAAATATATTACTGTTGCAAATTACAATTGTACTGTAAAATAAAATGACATTATATTAATAAAAAAATACTTTTTAATATGTATGTTAATTATTATTTTATTTTTATTATTATAATTTATTTTTATTAATATTGTTTTAATTTTTATAGAAGTTAAATGGAAATATATTACTATATATTGTATTCTAAAATTGAATTAAGTTATATTAATCATTTTCAATATTTATGTCTTAAATAATTAATTTTCAAACCCTCAAGCCTTTCATATTTTTATTTTGGCAGAGTACTGGTGAAGTTCTGTAAAGTTCTGTGCACAAAAAATGTTGAAATGTTCATCACTGCTGAATCATTCACAATAAGAAAATAAACAGAGTCCGTTTGGATTTCATGCTGAATATTCACAATAATGCGCAGTGGGACTTTGGACCAATGAGATGGCGCTGTGGGCGGGGCTTCCTCCTGTGATGTGCTGTTTTTGTGCCTGCAGATCTTCTATAAGGCCGTCAGCTCCTTCGACCCCGAGTTCAATCTGTCCAATCAGAGCGGGAAGATGCTGAAGTTCAGCAACGAGACGTCGCACATCTTCGCGGGTCTGTATCCCGGATCCACGTACTCCTTCACCATCAGAGCCAGTACGGTCAAAGGATACGGGCCGCCCGAAACCGCACAGTTCACAACCAAGATCTCACGTAAGAGCCGCGCCAGCCGTGTGTGTGTGTGTGTGTGAGTGTGTTTGACGTGCTCATATGTCACCTGTCAATCATAACAGCGCCGCGTATGCCGGGATACGAGCAGGAGACGCCGCTGAATCAGACCGACAGCACAGTGACAGTCCTTCTGAAACCGGCCCGGAGCCGCGGAGCACCGGTCAGGTGCGTCTTCATTCACATCAGACCCTCACATCAGCATCAGCACCAGACAAGCTGTTACAGAACTAGAGCTGTTTGGTTTATATGAAATGCTCCAATAGCAAGTTCAAAATAATAATAATTTTTAAAAGTAATCATAATCCAAACAGGCAGTGCTATCTATCTATCTATCTATCTATCTATCTATCTATCTATCTATCTATCAATCAATCAATCAATCAATCAATCAATCAATCTATCTATCTGTCAACAACTCTTATTGTACTGAGAAGTGTTTGTAAATATAGTAATATATTAAGTATATATAATCAAATATTATATTTTTTATTTTACAGTAGTTGTATTGCAATAGAACAATTTCTGTCTTAATAACAATAACAACAACAAATGTAATATTAATGCTAATGCCTATTATTATTATTACATTATTAATATACGTATGGTGAAATATTTATTTTTTATTTTACAGTGCAGTTGTATTCAGTGTTATTTTAATTATTTTTAGTCATCATTCATGTACTGTTATAGGTTTTGTTTATTTTGAATTAGATTTTGTCCATTTTTATATTTTCACTTTAATTCAAGTTAAAGTTTTAATTGTGTTGTGTGTTTTTGTCATTTTTATAAGTTTTAGTTTTTAGTTTTAATTTATTTAGTTTGTTATTTTAGCACTTCAACTGAAATGTTTAAGTTTTTAATATTTTATTTCAGTTAATGTGTATTTTATTTCAAGTAATGCATTTTTTTCTTCGTTTTTTTTCTTTTGTAAATTAACTTAATTTTTATCTTAATAATAAAAATAAAAGTATAATTAATATTATTAATAATAATATTAAATATACATTATTATCATCACAATGTATAATAATAACAATATCAAGTATAAATATTATTATTAGAGATGCACAATACTGAATTTCTCCACCAATACAGATAACCGATTATTCAGAATATCTGCCGATACTGATACCGATAGTTTGATTTTCTTAAGAAAAAAAATCTCTCCTATAACTTATGATGTAAACTATACTGGGAACCCTCTCATTTGTTACATTACTGTTATATTAAAGGTTAAAATTAATAACAGAGCTATTATATTCAACTTGTAATATTCAGTGTTGCTAATTTTTTAATCTGTTAATGCGTTTTTATCGGGTTAATTTCGACAGCCCACAATATATTTTCTTCACACACTGTATGAGTTGCAGTTTGACATGTTTTGGCCTCCTCCTTTTGATTGACAGGATATAATCGGCCCTGATATAATTGATAGTGAAGAAAATAGCTTTTATCGGTCGATACCGATTATCGGCCGATACATCGGTGCATCTCTATTTATTATTATCATGTAATCCCTCTCAAAGCTAAAAAGAGTCCTTTGACTGATGTCAAAAGTAACTGAACTGAGACGCTGTTCAGATTGGACTCTGTTAATGCCGTGTCAGTGTTTTGTGCTTTTGTGTTTGCTCCGGTGCAACGCTCTTCATGTCTTTTGAAGATAAGAACAAAGCCGATCTCTCACGCTGAAAACATCGTTTGCTTCGCTCAGAAACCTGCAGCGCTAGATTGTATCCTGATGTCTCCTGCCTTTTGAGTCTGCTTCCTCTGATTCCTCTCACGTCCGAGTGATTCTCAGCAGCACTTCATGTGTGTTTGCGCTCGTCATGATAATGTCTGCAGCTTCTTCATTATTCAGCAGATCGTTCTGGTCAAGGGTCGCGTGTAATGCAGAAAGTGAGGATAAAAGCCTCCGCAGAGTGAATGCATGTAAATATGAGTGTTATTGAAAACACTCGTATGAGACGTTACACACAGATGATGTGATATCAGATCACACCACGACCTGCACTTATTACAGCGCTCACAGCGAATCCTGCGCTCAAACAGGTCTGAAAGCGCTTCGGAGGACCAGCGTGAAGCTGCAGACGGAAATTGTCCGTCGTCTGCTGAGACTCTGCTCCTGCGGCGCTTAAAAGCCTCCATTAAGAGTCAGAGAAACGTGGAAGCAGAAGTCGAGACGGCAGCGGGATATCATGTCCATAGTTATGCCGACTTTTTAGCAAGTTCAGAAAAGCTACCTAACAGGGAATATTCTCATAGCTTTCGTTAATATTTTTTAAAAGTTATATAAATGTTAGGACAAAACGTACTTAAAACATTCTCAGATCGTCCTTATGATGTTATTTGCACTTCTAAGAATTGTTTTTTTTAATGTTTTAATCACAAACTGAAAAAATTACATTTTAATGTTCTTAGAATATTAAAAATAAAGATTCAAATAACATTGTCTCGCATTAAAATTAAGTTATTTAAAAATAAAAAATATGTAAATAAAGATTCAAATAGCATTGTTTTGATGGAAAATTAAGTTATTTAAAAATAAAAAAATATATAAAAATAAAGATTTCAAATGACATGTTTTGGATGAAAATTAAGTTAGTTAAAAATAAAAACTATAAAAATAAAGATTAAAAAAACATTATGTTTTGATGGAAAATTAAGTTATTTAAATATATATATATAAAAATAAAGATGCATAAAGATTGAAATAATGTTATGTTTATTTTATTTCAGCTAGTTGCCAAAGCAACATTTATCATTTTCATTTGGTGTCACTTTTATGTGCTAAACTAAAGCTAAAACTTAAATAAAAATAAATAAATAAATAAAAATGAAATAAAAAACAACAAAATTACAAAAAATGTACATGTAAAATATATAAATAAAAAATACCAATAAAAACAATCTGGTCAGGTCAAGGTCAGCTGTTCAGTTTTCTGTCGATGGACAGTTCTGAGGAACAATGAATGATGGGATGATGGAAGCATGAGTAAAGCACACGGCCCTTTTTGCACGTTTGGCTTTGCGGTGAAATATTCAGACGGCATGCTTGTCTGAGGCCGTTTTAATGGAGGTGGACAGTCGGGTGACAAAAGATGCTGTTCGAACCGTCTCCCGAAACGCTTTTACTTTCAGAGCGTCTTCATGATTCACAAACGCCGTCAGACGCTCATTTACACACTCGTACCGTCAGCGATGGATTCAAACACTCGTCTCGAAATAAACAAATATCCAAAAACCTACACCGATTTCAGCTCATTTTCATTTAGTTTCACTTGATATACTAAAGTAAGTCAAACTAAAAATGAGGTAAAAATTAATATAAAGTATATAGAAATATTAAAAAATTAAGTATTTAAAAAAAGAAACATTACAAAAATTGAATAAAATGTAGCTAAAAGTAAAGCGGGATATACAAATATAAACATTCATGCAAAATAATAAAATAACAGTAAACCAAAATTATTATGCCAATATGGTTATTTTTGCTAGAATCCCAATTACTGTAATTGCAGCAAAATCTATTAGTATTATTTTCGAAATTATATTACTATTTTATTACTTTTATTTTTATTAAATTTAACTAATTTGTATTTTTACTTATACATTATTTTAATTAAAAAATTTACATTTTACTCCAAATTGTCATTACTGTAATGCATTTTTTTAATTTAATTTAATTTAATTTAATTGTATTTTTTGGTATTATTTAAATTGAAATGTGTCTGACTTTATGCTTGCAACTATTTTTCAGTGAGTACTAAATATAAAAAAATAAATAAAAATAAAATATTAAATATCTATATCTATCTATCTATCTATCTATCTATCTATATATATAT